TAAGGCTTTTGGACTCACTTGCACTTTTTAAAAAGTTTGGGAGTATAATTACAATTTATTTTTTATATTTCTTTTCATTTTATTTGTTTTATTTAAATTTGAGGGTATAATGGTCATTTTACACTGAAAAATAGTGAAAAGGATGTTTTCCACACTGAAACGTTGAAATAGAGGAAAAAATGCAAAAAAATGAAACGTTGGGACGTTTTGCACACTAACTATCAAACGTAGGGACGTTTTGTGCTAATAAGCCTTTTTGAATTCTCATACTGTAACAAGAATTTCCTGTCATCTTTCTTACTTTTTTTTTTATTCTTTTCACATTTCTCCATTTTCTAAGCAAACAATAAAAGTGAAAAGGGACATTGAGATCGGATAATGTAATCCGTATGTTTAAGTTAAAAACACGTCACATATGTAAAGGCTCACCTGGAAAATCAAACTTATTTCATTAAACAATGGGTCTCCTCTTATTTTAGAAAGTTGACACCTAACTTATTTCATTTTCAACTTTCAAGAGCTTGGAGGTATTGTATATCTCCTCTTCTTTTAGAAAGTGGAGCCAATCTAATTTTCATTTTGAATCCGTATATTTAACTTAATAAATTTGGAACAAATTCAATAAATAAGTATTTTGTTTCCAGCCAAACAGTTTTTATTACACTCATGACATGCACCAATACTAAACCCTAAACTAGTCGAAGACAAAAGGAATCTTGGGAAATGCACACACAACTACGTTAGTATTTCTTAATTTATTAAATCCATACACGTTTACGTGGTGATTTGGACAATATAATATTAATAGAAATAGAAGGATAAACATGAAGGACGAGGAAAGTTGATGAGGACAATGCTACATGTACATAAGGTTCACACATTAATTTATACACATGTGAATTAACAAATTTTGGTACATTAATCTTGACAATACATTTTTCATTTAATTGCCTGATTTTTCACAAACAGAAATATGTCAATTAAGGTGTACACTTTATGTATACAAATAGTTTAATACAAGATAAAGTTATTATTAAATAGATGGGTCCGCAGGATTATTGTTAAGAACAATCATGCTACATTTACACTCTTTCTTGCACCATTCTTTATACTATTCCACGTGACAACATCTATACTTTTAATTTTGAATTCATTGCAATATCTATTGTCTTAATTTTGAACTCATCTATCACGTCACTGTACAAATTTCATCCACGCAAGGGATATCAACTTATAGGGTGTTTGACACCCATTTTTTTGAGAATATGATTTTTGGAATAGTGATTGATGAAAGAATGTGTGGTGGAAAAGTTTAGATTTGTGTATAATATTATTTTATTGGGAGAATGTATGGTTGAAATGAAGAAAGAGAAAAAAATGAGAATGAAATGAGAATGGGTGACAAACATGGGCTAAATTGTCAAGCACAATGAGATGTGTAGCATTATTCTATTAAGAATTGTCAAAGGTGGTTTTAGCTTTTAGGTTGAAACAGCCAACCAGAAGAGGGTGAAGAGTAGAAAACTGAAAGCCCACCGCAAAAATATAATAATTTTTGTAGGTTTTATGAATAGTGACCTTGGAATATGGGGTTTTCTGTGTATATAAAGGGGGTGCTAGCATTGCACTCTCCATCATTCACAAGCAAAAATACATTCATTTGCTCTTTCAAGAGTGTCCCTTTGTTGCGTTTGTTACTCTTTTTCATTCACTTTGGTCCCATTGGTTCACTATTCTGAGATCTCTTTGGTTCTTTTGCCACTTTCTGTAAGGTAGAAAACATCCCACATTTTAGAGTAGGCAATTGTTTTAAGTTAAATCTCGCCACCACCTATTTATTAAAAGTTCTACTTGTGTAATCCTTTGAGAAAAAATCCCGCCTACATACGAGGGGAGTGTTGAAGATAACATTCATATGACATACATGTAATCTTATTTGGTAGTTCAACCTTTTAGATCAAATGGTTCATCAGATTCAATTTCCTCTTGATATTATGCCTTTAATTAGTGTGTTTTTTAATCAAAGGGTGATTTGATTTAGCCATGTAATGTTCTTGGTTGTCACTCATGGGAGTTCTGTTTTAACAAGTATGAAAGATCTAAAAAATTTCAATGTGTTGGTTGGTGTATCAGGTGTTAGGTTAAGAATTTTTTAGCATTCTAGAATGGATGAATTATATAAATTCATTATTCCGTGGTTCATTGACTAATACTTTAGTCAATTTCCTCTTTGACAAGTTTTTGTTTCAGATAAGCATAAACATCCTAATTCTCTGCACTGTTAATTTTCTTACAGTTGAAATTTGTCCAAGATTGTGTTAACTGATTAACTATTTTCAATGGCGGAGCGTGTTTTGACTCGCGTTCACAGCCTTCGTGAACGATTGGATGCAACTCTTGCAGCTCATCGCAACGAAATTTTGTTGTTTCTGTCGAGGTATATTTTGATGTGAAATCTTATTTTTTTTGCTCTTTATTAGTCTTATATGGATTTCTCTTAATTAGATTATCGGATATTGCAGGATTGAAGGCCATGGAAAAGGAATTCTGAAACCTCACCAGCTCCTTGCTGAGTTTGAAGCAATTTGCCAAACTGACAAAGAGAAACTGAAGGATCACGCCTTTCAAGAACTTCTCAAGTCCACACAGGTAAAGTTGATTTTACACTTCGAATGTTTTTTTTGAGTTCTTTATCGCATTGTATGGTCCTTTTATGATTCTGTTGCGAATTTCTGTCACCAGGAAGCAATTGTGTTGCCACCATGGGTTGCACTAGCTATTCGTTTAAGGCCTGGTGTCTGGGAATACGTACGTGTCAATGTTAACGCTTTGGTTGTCGAGGAACTGACGGTGCCAGAGTATCTGCACTTCAAAGAAGAGCTTGTAGATGGCCCGTAAGTTTCGAATCAACAGTTTTCACATTTGGTTTTGCTGATATTAATCCAGTTTTTTCACGATTTTATAGTGCAATCTTCTTTATGTTGATGCAGTGCCAACGGGAACTTTGTTCTTGAGTTGGATTTTGAACCATTTACTGCATCTTTTCCCAAGCCAACCCTCACCAAGTCCATTGGCAATGGAGTTGAGTTCCTTAATAGGCACCTCTCTGCAAAAATGTTTCATGACAGGGACAGTATGACTCCTCTTCTCGATTTCCTCCGAATGCACCACTATAAGGGAACGGTAATAGTTCAACTTTTTATTTTTTACTTTGATACGAATTGACTGAATAAGAATAAGGTTTGAATGCGCATCAATTTGATCACTTGATTTTCTTGTGTAGACAATGATGCTGAATAACAGAATACAGAATCTAAATTCCCTACAATCTGTTCTGAGAAAGGCAGAGGAGTATCTCTCAACACTTCCTCCTGAGACACCATACTCAGTCTTTGAGCACAAATTCCAAGAGATCGGATTGGAGAGAGGCTGGGGTGATAAAGCGGAGCGGGTATCAGAAATGATTTCTATGCTTCTTGACCTTCTTGAGGCTCCTGACTCATGCACACTCGAGAATTTCCTCGGGAGAATCCCTATGGTTTTCAACGTTGTTATCCTTTCTCCACACGGTTACTTTGCTCAAGAAAATGTGTTGGGATATCCCGATACTGGTGGCCAGGTATGTCCTTAAGACTGACCCCTGATATCGTCCTAGTTGAATTATAGTGCTTCAAATGGCAAAGTCTTTCTGTCCTTAATTTGCAGGTTGTTTACATTTTGGATCAAGTTCCTGCCTTAGAGCGCGAGATGCTTAAACGTATAAAGGAGCAAGGACTTGACATCACCCCTCGCATTCTCATTGTTAGAATTCTCACAACTTCGTATACCACAAAAAGATTCTTGAGTTGTCTTTAGTTTCTTACTCTTCAACATTTCTTCTTGCTGTATTATATAGGTGACTAGATTGCTTCCAGATGCAGTTGGAACCACTTGTGGCCAACGGCTTGAGAAAGTATTTGGAACTGAGCATTCACATATAATTCGAGTCCCCTTTAGAACTGAGAAGGGAATTGTTCGCAAATGGATCTCTCGATTTGAGGTGTGGCCATACATGGAGACTTTCACTGAGGTGAGATTATTACTCTCTTTACACATCCGTCGGCTATGTTCATTGCCAAATTTTAACGGTCTTTAAACTTCTGATTCCGTAGGATGTTGCAAAAGAAATCACCGCAGAGTTGCAGGCAAAACCAGATTTGATTATTGGAAACTATAGTGAGGGTAACCTAGCAGCCTCCTTGCTGGCTATCAAGTTAGGTGTAACACAGGTATATGCTGCACTCCCCAATTTTCCTCGTCATTTTAACTGTATTTGTTTCCATGCACAAGCAGGAGATTAATCATTTTTGCTATCATTTTCAGTGTACCATTGCTCATGCACTCGAGAAAACGAAATATCCGGACTCTGACATTTATTTGAAAAATTTCGATGAAAAGTATCACTTCTCGTGTCAGTTTACTGCTGATCTTATTGCAATGAATCATACTGATTTCATCATCACTAGCACATTCCAAGAGATAGCTGGAAGGTAGTACATTTAGGTGTGCTTGATCAAAAGTGTTCTTTCGATTTCAATCCTGCATTTCCTTTATATTAAATTTCAATGATTTCATGTTTCAGCAAGGACACTGTTGGGCAGTATGAGAGCCATATGGCATTCACAATGCCTGGACTCTACCGAGTTGTTCATGGGATTAATGTGTTCGACCCCAAATTCAATATCGTCTCTCCAGGAGCCGATACAAACCTATATTTCCCATATACGGAGAAAGAAAATAGACTCACAGCACTCCATCCTGAAATTGAGGAGCTTCTTTATAGTGAGGTCGAGAACGAGGAGCATCTGTATGTTTTTCCATCTCTAAATTCTTTCATCCATAATTGGGCTTGAGTTCTTATTGTTATTTTTCTACCTGGCAGATGCGTGCTAAAAGACAAGAAGAAGCCGATTTTATTTACCATGGCAAGATTGGACCGTGTGAAAAATTTAACAGGACTTGTGGAATGGTATGCCAAGAGCCCGAAGCTTAGAGAATTGGTTAATCTTGTTGTAGTTGGTGGTGACAGAAGAAAAGAATCCAAAGATTTGGAAGAACAGGCAGAAATGAAGAAAATGTACAGCCTTATTGAAACCTACAATTTGAATGGCCAATTTAGATGGATTTCTTCACAGATGAACCGAGTGAGGAACGGGGAACTCTACCGTTACATTGCTGATACCAGAGGCGCATTTGTGCAACCGGCATTCTATGAGGCCTTTGGTTTGACTGTTGTTGAGGCCATGACCTGTGGTTTGCCTACTTTTGCTACGATCCATGGCGGTCCAGCTGAGATCATCATCCATGGAAAGTCGGGTTTCCATATTGATCCATATCATGGCGAACAAGTTGTTGATCTCCTTGTCAATTTCTTCGAAAAGTCCAAGAAGGACCCTTCTCATTGGGAAACCATTTCAATGGGCGGCCTTAAACGTATCCAAGAGAAGTAAACAACTCATAACTCTGAATTTTCAAGATTAGATGAAGAAAAGCTTTTCATCAACTGATCTTGTTCTCGCCCCTGTTTTACAGGTTCACATGGCAAATTTACTCAGACAGGCTATTGACACTGGCTGGAGTTTATGGATTCTGGAAATACGTCTCTAAGCTTGATCGTCTTGAGATCAGGCGCTACCTTGAAATGTTTTACGCTCTCAAGTTTCGCAAGTTGGTGAGTTCTATTTCTTACTCAAGTGAATTCTTACAGTAAACATTTCAAATCTCGAAAACTAAAGAGATTTTCTTGTGTTTTTCAGGCTGAAGCTGTTCCACTGGCTGTTGAATGAATAAACCAAGTTTACTGTGTTGAATAAAAAAGACAGCTGAGATCGTGAAACTCTACTTCGTCGTCTTTCTATTAAATAAGTCATTGGAACTTTACGCATAAAATTTTAATTTTTGTTTCTGAATTTATCTTGTTATACTTTTTTGTTGGCTTCTATTACTGCAAAGGTTGTAATCTTGGCATCTGAAGTGTGTCAATAAAGATCAAATTCAATCTTTCATTTCTCTTTTCATTTTTGTTATACTTCTGTATATGCCTAAGCTTATCTTCTCATTCTTTTTCAACATGATTCCTTTTAAGTAAAGTCGATCAAGTACATAGTTTCGTTCAGACACATTCCCTTTCCAAGTTCTTTATTTCAATTTCCTCTGCCCGCCTAATTTGAAGTAACGCACTTTTGATTGGATCATTTTTTTGTCCCTATTATATCGTCAACCAAAGCTGGGACTCCACATGAAGTCGAGTGTTTTATGAACAATCCTCGCGACTTCACTTGTATCTCATCTCCAACATAACCTTCACAGACCTTCCAAACCATGCTCTACGAGTACATATAGTGCATTCTTCAATGTGTAAGACTATGCTTTTATCAAATACTTGAGTCAAAACTCGTTGGTACCTCCATAACTCATAACCCCCCCCCCCCCCCCCCCCCCCCCCCCCCCCCCCCCCCCCCCCCCCCCCCCCCCCCCCCCCCCCCCCCCCCCCCCCCCCCCCCCCCCCCCCCCCCCNAAGAACATACACAATATTCCTTTTTGCCACGGGAGCATTTCTTCATAATCTATACCATAAGTTTTAGTGTAGCCTTTGGCTACCAAATATGTCGGATTATGATATTTCCATGCAATGTCTGTCCTTATATTCTTAATGCAAACCCCAAATTGGTTTTGGACGGTATTACAAAAATTTGGAAGAACATTTCTCACATCAGATTTTTGTCTTGAAAAAGAAATGTAAATTACATTGTAATCGAAATTAAACGAGATGAGCTACTATGAACCAGAAAGTCGGGATTTTTTATGCCCCCGACTATCAGGATGAATCAAAGAAAATAGATCACAAAACCCAGAGAGATTATGTTTGGATACCATGTAAAAAAATGAATTTTATTGATACTTTCCATGAAATTCTCGCAAACCTAAAGTCAAGAACTAAACAAGAGAAACATACAACTACACAATCTAGACATTTAACTGACTCTCTATCATCAAGGAATTCCCACATTTTTTAATTGTTTATAATGGTTAAATTGACAATTGTTCGAGTTAAATATCTATTTACACAATGCAAATTTTCATTGCCTGACAAAATTTGAACCTGGTAAACCGAATTCACATTGCTCCGCCAGAATGTCAATGCACATTCAACCTCATAATCCTCAGACACTAACACCAGAGCTCTCTTAAGCTGGATACAAATATGTATTTCATTGCTCAGGATATTGGTAACACGCGTTCCATATGATAACGATCCAAAACCATTTTATAGCCAAAAAAAAAAAAAAAANAAGGGCTAAATTTACTGAAAAAATTAAAGGAGTATAAAAGAATATAATATATTAATCTATAAATTTAAGAATTTTTGTGACATGTCCCTAAAATGTCTGTAACCTACTTTTTTGAATAGTTACATGAAGGCGTGCTTGTGTCCATGTCTGCTTTTGGTGTTCATATATGTGATTCATAAGAAATAGCATTGTTCTTCAATGCACAGGCTATAGAAGTGTTGACTTTCTACCCAAAAGTAAAAATATTCAACACACACAATCAAAATAACAGCAGAAAAATAAAAGACTATCGTGAAGAGCTAATATTATATATGGTGGAAAACAAATTACCTATTTTATTCAAAACAATGGTATCTCGATAAATATAAAAGAAAAACAAATAATTATAGATGATGCATATGTATATCAGGATAAATAGAAGTTAAAAGATGTTTATTTACATAGATATCCAGTAATTATTATATTAGGCATATGCATTGTACTAATAGAGAGGACAGGACTACCTTAGGGATCAGTAAGAAACCAGCAGACTAAGCTTCCAATTTTAAGATGTGCCACCGCATAATCAAAATAAATAGAGTTCAGAAAGGAAGCACTAGGATCGTACTCTGCAATATAAAAAGGTTATGGAATTCATGACTCCCATAGTGTTTTCAGATATTTTTCTTACTTCGGATACTTGTGTTCTTTCCTTAGCTGTTTGAAGTCAGTTCCTATAGTTCGTTCAAAGGTTATGTACATCTAAGATCAACAAACACATGCTTCACACAATTTTTTTTCCCCTTGTTCAATAAGAATCATGAATTTATTGAAAATAACAGAAAAGCTAAGGACATGGCCTCCGTCACTAAAATGTAAAAAGAAAACTATCAATATAATGCATCTAAAAACCAAGAAGAACTGACAAAAAAAGAAAAAATCTTTAAATTCCTCAAAGGTAGAAGTACATAAAGAAGCTATTACCTTTGCCATTTTCCATAAATGTAACATTCTTGTTCATTCTCTTTAAAAATTTATGCTATTCCTTTTCATCCATAAGACACAAAAAATTGCCAAAACAACATTCTTCCACATCAAATCTCCTTTTTTTTTTAAAAAAAGCAATCAAATATTTTATTAATCAAAACTCAATACATAGGGTGTGTATCATCAATACAAATAAAAAAGGAACAACATGAAATTAGGCAGTCCATCTATATGCCTAGAAGCCATATCATTAAACCAAGTGTACAGTGTCAAGTAAAACAACTCCCTAAACTGCTATGTTGTCCCTGTTTGGTCCTCCATACGCCTCGGCATCACCCAATCCATATGCTGCAACACCAAGACATCATTCAACAGGAGACGAACAACATCACAATGAAAAAATAAGTGATCAATCGTCTCCCCATCCCCCTTACACATATAACACCACTCGGTAACATAAAAACCCCTAATGCGAAAGTTATCCACCGTTAACACTTGTCATCTGACCATCGTCTATAGTAAAAATGTCATTCGTGGACGCAGTTTACATTTCCAAACTATCTTCCAGGGAAATGAACTCTCTTCAACTCTCAATAGAGATCTGAAATAGGTGCGAACCGAAAAAATACCATCTCGTGTCAGTCTCCACCTGTTACAATCATCCTCTTCCGCCCTAATGTATGCCTCGTATAAAGATGTCAGAAACAATGCATAATCATCTAATTTCAAATCCTACAGACCCCGACCATAAACAATATTCTAACTGGAACTCCCATTATGAATATCTAAGGAATCATTCACCATGGCCGACGATTCCAGCACAATACGATACAAAGAAGGAAATCTTATCTTAAGCGGTTGAACTTCACACCAAAAATCACCCCAAAAGCTAATTATGTTACCATTCTCCACAACAAATGTCAACCTATCCCTAAATTCGCTCCAACCTTGTCGAATATACCGCCACAAACTCACCACATAAGAACCACGTCTCTCACCTGAGCATCATCCCCCTCCATAACACCATATTTTGCCCTAATAATAATTCTCCAAAAACTTTCCCTCTCCATTCCAAATCGCCACAACCACTTACCCAACAAGACCTTGTTAAACAACACAAGACTTCTCAATCCGAGACCACCGAATCTAATAGGAGAACAAACCGCACGCCAATTAACCAAATGCAACTTCCTCTCCTCTCCTCTCCTAATCCTCCCCAAAGAAANAACCAAATGCAACTTCCTCTCCTCTCCTCTCCTAATCCTCCCCAAAGAAACTCCTTTTGGATCCTCTCTAATCTCTTTGCCAGTGTAATAGGAATGGGAAATAGCAACAAGAAATAAGTAGGAAGATTCGAGATACTTAAGTTCACGATCACCTTTTCTTCTTGACTTGCCTCCTGATGTACCCAACTCATGACCCTTGTTAACCTCCAAGTCCTCGAATAATTGTATAAGCCTAGGTTCGTGCCCATCACATGACATACCTACCATCTTGTTGAACTCCAAAAAATTTTTTAAGGACCCAACTCGACGGTCGAGGTCTATCGTCAGACCCACTAACTTTCGCCAAACCCTCAGCATACATAAGATCATAATAACGTCCCTCCTCATTCTCTACCCGAACCACATTACAGTATGTATCCCCAATCTCGGCTCCTCCCACCCACACTACCAAAGCATTATCATTCCCTGATCCCCATATTTCGGAGACTTAGAAAATCTCCTATGGTAGGTATTCACCGCCTTAGTTGCTGATCCTATCGGCCCTTGCTGTTTCTCATGAACCAATGCTGAGCTATCACCCACCACAATTCCGTTTTCGTGCTCATTATCCGACAATGATCCCTTTACAGAGGGAATCGTATCCGGCCCACCTCATCTGTAGGATAATTGATCGCTTCCAACAACACCGAATTCCAATTCGTCGTCCCCAACTCCCCTTCCTCACCCCGAGGTTTTGTCTCTCGAGACGCCTCGGTCATTGAATCTCTTACATCCCTATCTGCGTCTTCTGTCTCGATCCTATTTCCATCACCGGAGGAATGTACCACTGCAGTTCGCGTCTGAAATTTGCCTGAAGGCTCGTCTAAGTCCACCCCATACCTATGATAGTAAGTGTTCCTGGAATCCACTATAGACCTTTTTCCCACTACCTTGATCAAGGCATCCAATTTCCCTTTCAACACCTGAATGTGCGCCCTTAATTCGGCATTAGAGTCATTCTCCGCCCTTTCCTTACTCAACAACTTCCGCTGATCAGCATTTTTCGATGGCCAAACGTTTGCCATCACATCGACATAAGTCACCCCTGATCTCCTCCTATCATCACCTATTCGACTTTTAGCCTTATCTCTAGAAGCATAAGCATTAACAACTGCCTGGAACGCGCATGAAATTTATGCCCATCCTTCTCCATTCACACCATCCGGCACCATCACAACTCATTTTCGACGCCTCTCCCCGTATTGTGCTATCATCAAAAACCTACAACGATTATTAGCACAACGTTGTGCCAAGAAAGCTCGAGAAGACTCATTAAACTTGGCCACGAATTCCTCCTTCTTATCGGCCATCCTCAGCTTGTTCATCATATTCACCATCCAAACGGCACCATATCGATCCATGCAAATTGTGCCCGATATCTGTGAACCCCATTCTGATAGCTTAATAAACCCTGATTCTGTAGCAGACACGACGAACTCCTTAGCCTCAACTCGAAATAGTGAGTTGAAAAACTTGATACCCCCAATATAAGTCTGTTTCCCACCGTTTAGAGCAAATAAATCAGTTGATGAAGAAAACAATGCTCGGAATGGCCTCGGGGGCAACATGACAGATCTGGGCAGAACTTGGAGGTGGCACGTGTGCCCTACGCGTCGACAGGTCAGCACGATCTCCGGGCACCTGACCTCCCGATCGGAATCCTCTGCACATGTCCCCGGATAGGCACGTGTGGCTAGCGAATGGCCGGAGGAACCGAAATCGGCTTGTGACTGCCGTAAATCAACTCGGTCTTCTCTTTCAATGGATCTGTGA